GGTCCCCCAGACCATTCAGCAGCGGGCCCACGTTTTCCCTAGTCTTCCTTTTGCTATTGATGTATTTGAAGAAGCCTTGCTTGTTGTCCTTGACATCCCTTGCCAGATCTAATTCCAACTGGGCCTTAGCCTTCCTTGTCGCATCCCTGCACACTCTGACAACGTCCCTGTATTCCTCCCAAGTGGCCTGTCCCCTTTTCCACATCCTGTGTACTTCCTCCTTCTGTTGAAGTTTTGCCAGGAGTTCCTTGCTCTTCCATGCAGGTCTCCTGCCCGCTTTGCTGGATTCATTACTCGGAGGGATGCACCAGTCTTGAACCTGGAGGAAGTGATGCTTGAATATGAGCCAGCTTTCTTGGACCCCTCTTCCTTCTAGAGCCCGCAGGTCTCCTGCCCGCTTTGCTGGATTCATTACTCGGAGGGATGCACCAGTCTTGAACCTGGAGGAAGTGATGCTTGAATATGAGCCAGCTTTCTTGGACCCCTCTTCCTTCTAGAGCCCTACCCTAAGTAGGTCCCTGAAGAGGCCAAAGTTAGCTCTCCTGAAGGAGAACTTGCCAGGGAACTTCAAACTGGTGTACCAGTACACTAGTTTGAAGTACCCTGGCGTTTGTTAGGACATCTTTAGACAGCAGTGTAATGGGCTCAAGAATTTGAGCAAATGGGGCTTTTTCTGTACAAGACGTAATTAAGACAATTTTGGTGCTCTGAAACTTGCAAAATAAAGGGGAAGCTGTGGTGTGGATGAGAGAGCAAAAAAGTATAAATTTTTAAAAACAGTGGTATACTTGGGCCTGTGTGAGAGATACTGTGACTTTTACTTCATGCTTCTCCTAGGAAGTGGTGATAGCAAGTGCTGCAAGGACACCGATTGGGTCTTTCCAGGGATCCCTTTCATCATTGCCAGCCACTAAACTTGGTTCCATTGCAATTAAAGGAGCAATTGACAGAGCAGGTATATGTAAATACTTTTTCACAAGAGAAAATTGCAAGTGACTCAGAACAGTATCAATTTGCGTCTTTTGTTTTTAAGTTGCTTGGTAAACAGAAGGTGTTGTGTGATGTCCCTGTCCTGTCCCGTGTCCCCCCCCCCC